CTCCTGGAGTCCACCCAAACCCATGTCCATAGAGTTGGTGATGCCATCCAGCCATCTCATTCTCTGTCGTCCCCTTCTCCTCCCACACCCAATCCCTCCCAGCATCAGGGTCTTTTCCAATGACTCAGCCATTAAAAGAATGCAATAATGCCCTCTGCAGGAACATGGATGGACCTAGAGACTGTCATGAGTGGAGTCAGAGAAATACATGCTATCAGTTATGTTCAGCATATACAGTAATAAGGCATAAACATATTTACAAAAGATACAGACTCAGACTTAAGAGAATGAACTATGGTTACCAGGGAGGAAGGTGTCGGGGAGGGATAGAAGTTAAGGGAAAAGAAGTGCATTTAGTTGGGAAGAAAGATACTCACTTTCTCTCTTCACATTTAGTATCTTTATGAAGGGTTATTTGAAGCTCAATGTACAAAAGAGCAATGTTCTACGAATTAAGGTACTCCTTCAATCATGATGATAATTATGTTTTTTCTACAATCTTTTTGAAATGCTTAGATAAACACAAGCACAAACAAAACAGGCCTTTCTGTATGATGGGAAGAAAGCCAATTAGTTACAAAATGCTAAGCAGAAGACTGTGTATGATTTCAAAGTAAACTGCAGATTCAAAGGAATCCATGCCTTTTAAAAATTTTTATGTTTCTTCTCAACTTACAGATTACAAAGGTACACAACTTCAAGTACTTATCAGGCTCATTATCAATAATGTATTATAATAAGAAAATTAACTAGCTTATCTTTTGGTTCTATGACGCCTTTCTAAAAACCAACTAGCTTTCAAAGGCAGTCATATTTTCTGTTCATCTTGTTTTTGAAAAATCTGTTGTCTGGAGATTTCCCAGGTGGTCTAGTGGTTAAAAATCCCCCTTAACAGAGGTGACGCAGGCTTGATCCTTCTGGAAACTAAGATCTCACATGCTGCCTGTGTACAACTACTGAGCCTGCGTGCTCTAGACTCCATGCCCTCCAACAAGAGAAGCCTGTGCTCAACTAGAGAAAAGCCCATGTACTATAGCAAAGACAAAGAGCAGTCCAAAGAAAAAAAGTTATCGAGTTTAAACCCATTGGATGGTGAAAATAAACAATCAGTTTCTTAATCCAAAACACTTTTTAAAAAATCACTATGGGTAATACACAGTTAGTATTTATTGGAGATCAGTGAGAGTGCCAAGGCAAATGGCTGAGACAAAATGTTCAATATTATCCTATTTAAAAAGCAGAATAGTGAAGAAAATAACCACTTAGCAACCACCAGAGCAACAACTGGTTGAAGCGAGCATCATGAGTGTGTTTTCTGGGGGGCAGTGCTGGGTCTTCACCACTGTGCGGGCTTTTCTTCTAGTTGCGGCGTGCGGGGACAGGCTCATTGCGGTGCCGAGCTTCTCACTGCAGTGGCTTCCCTTGTCGCAGAGCACGGGGTCCAGGATGTGCGGGCTCAGAATCTGTGGCGCACAGGCTTTAATTATTATGTGATTAAATTATATAACTATGCAATTAAGCTCTGTGGCATGCGGGAGTTTCCTGGATCAAGGGTTGAACCCGTCTCCAGTAGGTGCATTATTTCTGAGCCACCAGGGAATCGCAACGGACACTAAAACTAGGAGATGAAAGTTAGAAGAAACAGGATATTTGCAGTGTCTTCCCATAAGTTACTTAAAAAATTGTTTCCAGAGGGAAAAACAGTAATGCTACACTGAAGACACTACCTGTGTATATTACCCTGTGCAGAGGTAAATACATTGTGATGTTGAAAGCCAGGGTATTTATACATACTTGATTAAAGCAAAAAAATACAACACTGTTTGGGAGTCAATAATGTACATATATGTGTCAACTAAAATGAGGCTACAAGAATCCATACAGTTGTAAGGTTTCTACATTTTATATTAAGTAGTACAACATTAACTCCAAGTGGACTTTGACAGTTAAGGACTTATTTGTCAAAAACAGGTAGAAAAAAAAAAAGCAACACCCAACTATATACAGTCTACAAGTCATGCATTTTATATATCAAAAGGCTATATGAATATCAAGTATAAAAGATTTCAAGACAGAGATCACCAAAGATAAAGTGATACATTTCTTAATGCTAAAAGGGTCAAATTATTCAGGAAGATAAAACATTCAACAGCAAAGTTTTAACTGTTTTTGTAAATAAATTTTATCAGAACAGAGCCACACACATTTATTTACATACAAAGAAGCATGGCTGCTTTCATGCTGCAACTGCAGATGTGAGTGGTTCCAAGAGACCAGGCTGCATGTCTCAGAAAGTCTAAAATATACTACCTGCCCCTTTACAGAAAATGTTTGCTGATTTCTGCAAAGGAATTAAGTCACAAATAGGACATGTGTTTTATCTAATAGGAGGCAAGTCAAAAGTAAAGTGGTAAACACAATTCATAACTAATATTTGAAAAGAGGAAAAGAAAAAAATCAAAGTAAAATAAAGTTATGTGTTCTAGGGAATATACCTTGATTAGAGGTAACAAAAATATAAGAATAAGCCTCAAGCAGAAGTTGAAATTCAGTTACATTTTTATTTAATAAATAGTCCTAGCTCAAGACAGAAACTTATTATATTTTTAACACAGATAACTAGTTTTTGCAACACACAATAAATGAAACTAAAAGGACACCAATCTGACGTTTCTCTAAAACAGAGCATTAGATTTTAATGACTTATTTTTTGCCCTGACATTAAGTGGGTGACAGTTTAGTATAAACTCCAACCAGCCAAATTTTAAGAAAACTCTATTTGTCCAAGTAACAAATGTAAATGGTTACAAGGAATTGTGTTAATGTATACTTGAATTCAAACTTCATAGCAAAATTCTTAAAGAATATGAACAACTCCAATATATTTATTTACTTGTATTCACCATTAGAAAATGGACATATGCATATAGGAATCATTTGTAAAATTCTGACTAGAGACTCAAATTTCCTTAAAATAAATTAATATTATTAATTTTTTTTACAAAAGAAGAACATATACACATATATACACACACACTTGGTTTTTGATCTACCCAGAACCAAAAAGTAAAAAAAAAAAGATCCAATATACTAAGGTTAAGACAAATAGGAATATGAAAGATGCTACAAGAGATAGAAAGACTACGAAAAAACAGAAATGAAGATGGACGACAATTAGTACTCACCATTAAATCTGAAATATGGTTTTTCTTCTTTAGAGAGAAGAGATTAACAGATTAAAACTACTGTATTAAAAAAAGGCTGAAAAACACATGCAGTCTCTGCCTACACAGGTTTTTAAGAATAGGCAAATTGAGTGGTTTAAATAAACGCATACTTGCAAGAATGGACTAGATCTGAACTGTGCAGTTGGATGAAAATTAAAGTTACAATCAATTAAAATTAAATAAAAATAAGCATTCAATTCTTCCACTGCACTAGACACATTTTAAGTGCTCATTAACCACACGTGGCTAAAGGCTATGGTACTGTATAGTGCAAAGAACATTTCCATCATCACAAAAAATTCTACTGGGTAGCACTGAGCTATGCTCAGAATCTTGAATAGAATATGCCCCTTATGGAATGAGTAGCAATTTAAAATGTAATATACGACACAATGCTTTTTGAAAAATTTTCAGAACTATACAAAATGCATACAAATGTATGAAACTTACTAGTTTGACATTGTTTAGTGTAGTGAATTACAAAAATATATTTTCTAAATATAAATTCAGATATACTATGGTTAAAAAACAGAAGTAAATCTAAGTTTACCTAAGTCAAACAGAGATACAAATAGTGAGGAATACACCAAGTAAAATCAATGGTTGTAATAGCATAGCAATAAAATCAACCAAAATACAAATATACAAATTCTTCTTAAAGACTACTTAAAACATTCAATTCAAAATAAAGTACTAAAAAATTCCCTTGTATAAAAGAAACACATGAATGAGGATAAAATTATGCTTTAAAATTAAATGGCCTAATGTAAAAATATTTCAATAAGAGATGATATATTAAATGAAATTCACATCAGAATTAACAAATTTCTGAATATGTGGCAAAGGTAGAATCCAAGTTATTTGTATGTTAATAATAAGAAATTCATAACTGACTGAAAATGATACCGATGGGCGAATATATAACATTTCAAACAATAAAACTAAAGGTATCTGTAAATAATTCTGTAAGTTACTACAGGTTTTTATGTGACAATATAGTCACTTAATACAGCAGCTATCTTTGAATTTTTATACATTATTTCTATAAATATTCACTGTATTTTTTAAAAATTTAGACCTTACACCACGTATCTTACTACATTTTAAATGCAGTAATACAGTTATGTTAAATTCACTAAACGGGGGTGAAGGGAGACTCAGATGAAGGTGATCAAAGGGTACACATTTCCAGTAAATACTGAAGATGTAGCACACAGCATGATAAAGAGAATTTACACTGCTTTCTTTAACTTACATATTAAAGTTGTTAAGAGAGGAAATCCTAGGAGTTCTCTTCACAAGGAAAAACAACTTTTCTATTCTTTAATGTTGTTTTTATATAAGATTATGGATGTTCACTAAACCTATTATGGTCATCAGTTCATAAGGCAAATTATGTTGTATATCTTAAATTTATATAGTGCTATGTGTCAATTAAATTTCAATAAAAGGAGAAGGAAAAGTTCACTGATGCCTGATTTTAAAAACCTAATCACAAATGAGAATAAACAAGCAGAAGACAGTGGAAAGCAACTAAGGAAAAGGGGAAAAAAAACACCTTAGAAAAAATAGCAGAAGTTAAGAAGAAGACTCTGAAGAACCAGAGAGCTTTAAGCAGCAAAATACAGAAACAGGAAGCAAAAATTTAAGACCAAATAACAACATGTGTCAGATCAGGTTCTTTACTAAATTAGTAGATAATAATTTGCTCTCATTTTGGAGTCACAGATTAGCTTTCCTCCCCCACCCTGCCAGTAGATAAACACATGGTGTCTATATACTGAGATTCACAGTTTCTGGATTTATTTTCCCACCACTTAGACTGTGGATCATTGCTATCATATGAGAATGTTTGTTTAACTCCTCTTGCTGAAGTTTTACCAGGGACTCTTTCTCTTCCAAACGACCTTCTAATTGAGCCTTTTGAACTTCCAGGGAGGAAGCCTGAAAAAAGGGGGCGGTAGAGAGAAATTGAAGAAAACAACTTAGCATGTTTTCTCTTCACTGAAACCTGCTTTAAGATGTCCTTATGTTTTATTTGTGAGACAACCACATCAAGGCACATTAATGTAATATGCTTTACTTAACAATTATATGGTAAGTTTAAGATCTGTAACTGTTGATAATAAACAAGTTGGGAAGACATGATTCAGTTTGTCTTCTTAAGCCTGGACTTCTGCAGAAACTACTACTCACTACTTAGAATTACTATTAAGACAGACACAGTAAAGCTAAACTGTATGCCTCTCCGGTCATGTATATTCTGCAGTCGCTCAGTCTTTCTAACCTTGGTCTGTTCTCATCTTCCTTGTGGCAGTCGCTCCAGAGAGCATTATCCACAGCTACCACACTCGGTGAGACTGGTAGGTCGCTGAGCTGCGTGTGACTCTGTGAGCCCATGGACTAGCCTGCCAGCCTCCTCTGTCCATGGGATTCTCCAGCAAGAACACTGGTGTGGGCAGGCACGCCCTTCCCCAGGGGATCTTCCCGATCGGGGGATTGAACCTGTGTCTCCTGCGCCGCAGGCAGACTCCTTCCTGTCCGAGCCACCTAAATAGCCCACAGTCAAGCAACCATGACAATGGAGAAAGAGCAGTGAACTTAGAATATATGCCCACTACTTCACATAGCTATGTGACAGCCTTGAGCTAGTAACTTAAGACTCAGTTTCATTTGTAGGATGAAAATATTTATAAATACTTATATATTAGTATATTTATTAAAGTGAGGAAGATTAAGAAAAATATTTCAGAGTCCTTTGTAAATTATGAAATTTTATATATATATACAAACTTCTATTATTATCACCATCCTTGTAAGCAAAGAGATGCGGTTATATATATACACATATACAGGTAGCTATCTGTGACATTATGAACTGAGAACTTCTTTCTGTATTCTTTGCCCTCTTGAAATCAGCAAGTGCTGCAACACAGTATACATTTAATCAATGTGTAACAATTTTAGAAAATACAAATTTTCACACTGTGAGAGCCCTCATAACAAACAATTGTCAGATCAATTTGAGCTTCTGGTAACTTCTAAGCAAAATTACTGAAGAAACAGAACACTAATTTATACAGATTTACCTTTTTCACAAAATAAGACTTAATCATTTCAATGGAAATGAGAATGCAATAGATTCTTACCTTAATGCTCAATTCTTTTCTTATCTGATCTGTTCTATTTAATTCTTTTCTAAGGACACCAATGGTTTCTTCTTTGTCTTCTTTTTCTCTTTGTAAGACTTTAATCTTTTCTTCCTGTACTTTTATTTTTTGTTCTAGGTCTTAAAGCAAACAGTCAGCTTTATACTCAAAGGTCCTATACTGACATTAACCTGAAGCTATTAGGTTATAAAAGACAGACAATTACAAAGAAGAAACATCTAGCTACAAATAAGTTATATAGCATTTGATGAATTAAAAAAAATTATGAAACTTTTCTCCTATGCCAGGATTCTATGGTGGTGGTTTAGTTGCTAAGTGTGTCCAACTCCTGCGACCTCACGGTAGCCTGCCAGGCTCCTGTGGTCCATGAGATTCTGCAGGCAATACTGGAGTGGGTTTTCATTTCCTTCTCCATGGGATCTTCCCAAGCCAGGAAGTGAACCCAGGTCTCCTGTATTGGAGGCAGACTCTTTACCAACTGAGCTACAAGGGAAGCCCAGGATTCTATAGAAAATGCTAAACTGTCCATGTCTTTCCCTCTTCCTTTGTTCTAAATACAATATACAGTAATGTGGGGAAGGATAATCCTCATAGAGTTTAAGGGTCAGAGAACACTATGAACAACTACACAGGTAGATGTCTGCGCTTTAAGGCAAGCGGGCCGGAACAAAGCCCTTTTTGTAGGCCACTCCGAGTTACCAACATCGAGAAGCTGGCAGCTACGGGGGCGCAGCGCTGCCACCTGCAGTCACACTCTCTACGGGCGGTCAGTTTCTGTGCTCCTGATTTCAGAAACATGTATTGCTTTTCCAGTCCAACTGAACTGCTTTGTGGCAAGGAAAGGAGAACTTTTCAGAGATGATTTAAGGATTAAAAAAATGAGAGAAGTAGAAAATGAAACGGCAAACTAAAAACCACTCATGCTTTGATTTTCTTCCAACATAAGACTTATTAAAATACAGACAATTTATTAAACAAGCTACTTACTTGCTAGCTTACATTCTCTGTCTACTAGTTGGTTCTGTACTTCTTTTCTCTGTTCTTCTTTCTCTATCAGTTGGGCAATAGTTCTGAAGTTATAAGAAAATAAAGAAGAAAACATTAGTGAACCATATAATTTCTTTTTCTCTCCAACAAGTATTTTAAGAGGAAATTTCTAAGACTAGTAATCACTCTTAAATTCTGCCAAATATGTACTTTATATCTATAAGTAATAACTGTTAATTTTATATATAAAAAACAATGCTCTATATAGAGAGAATAATTTTTGAAAATGATTTCACATTTGAAAAATCACATTTGAAAAATCCAAATAATTAAAATAAAAAACTGTAAATTTTACTTTTCATTTTGTTGCTTGAGTGACTCATTCAGCTTTTTCACAGTCTCAATTTGTTTATTTAGAGAATCACAAGTGACCTGTAAACCTTTGTTCTTCTTTTCAGCAGTTTCACTCCTGAAAAGACAAGGAGATATAATTTTTAGTAGAGGAAAACACAGAGAAAGAGAAACTGAGTGTCTTCTTTACTACCTCTTCTGACTAAACTGCATATACTGCAGGAAGAGGAGGAATGCTATGTGAACAAGCAAGACATAAACAGAATTAGGTTAACTCTAAAAGACAATAAACATATGTTTTGGCTGACTGAGGAGGTAAAAAATTACTATGAAACAGAAACATGTGAGACATTAACTTCCTATTTATTGATAAAAAGCTTTATTTATAGAATGCTGCACTACAAAATTTGCTATTAATATAAAATAATGTCTTTTTCTTTATAGTGAAGTCCAGAAACTGAAACAATTTCTGTTAAAGGATAAGGTATTAAAAACAAAAAAAATTAAACTTACACCTATCATCACTAGCCTGGTAGGCATAATATATGTTCAAGGAAAAACATCAAATTAATAAATTAAGTGGCTGAAGATTTTAAGTTTCTCTTGCTTCTTTATAGCTCTGCATCATATAGTCCTGTGCTTATTTTACCTGTAAGGTAAACATATAAAAAATCCTTTCCAAAGTGATACTTTGACACCCAACTATCTTAAGCATGAAATGTCCTCCCAGAGGATAAACAAAATGGTGGTATTGGCCAAATGTGGTCAGTAGAAGTTTTATTTATCCCACAGAGTTTGTAAAATTCTGAATTTGAATGCCTTGAGATATCCCAACCATTACAAATAAACTTTCCCAGCCAGCTTCATTTGTTATCCACCTGGCCCCTCAAGGCTGGAGTTTGACTTCCTGGCCCACCCCTCACTCACTATCTGGATCATAAGCAAATCCTAGAAAGCCTATTTTCTCTTGGACCACTGCCTACTTTCTCTCATACCCTAACTGAACACTAACAGTCCACTTTATCAGGGCTGCCTCAAACAATCAGACTTAAAGTTGCTAGGGGAGAATATCCTATTTAAAAATCACTGTGTCCTCACAAATTTTGTAGATGCTATACATTTTCCACCCTTCATTTTTATTGATGGGCAAATAAAATAAGGACTTCCCAGGTGGCATGGTGGTAAAGAACCTGTGCTTTCACACAGGGGGCACTGGTTCAATTCCTGGTCAGGGAACTAGATTCTGCATGCTGCACAGTGAGGCCAAAATAAAAAATAAAAAGAAACATCTTGCTTAAAAAAAAAAAAAGAAGTTAAAAAAATAAGCACACGGACCTTGTCAAGTTAAATTTTTCTGTATCTCTATATTAATACCAGAGAAAGAAGGACATTTTTTCAAGTCTTAACCTATCTTAAACTATATATAAAAGAAAAACAAACAAGTTAACGAGAGAGTAATTTTTGTTTGGCAGAAATAAATAACTATTACTGGTCTCCCTTATAATTCATTAAGTTAAAACTGGCTTAAAAGATAAAAAGTGACAAGGGGAGGAATACTCAATCTCATACTTTGTTAGTGAGTGTATAAATTGGCATTGGCATAGCCTTTCTGAAGGTAAACTGGACAATCAATCAAAAATTTAAAAGCACATACCCTTTAGACCAGCAATTCACCTATATGAATTTATCTTGCAGATACAGTCATAAATTTAAAGAAACTACACTCAAGGACTTTAAAGAGAAATACTGACTACAAATTCCAAGGTGAGTCAAACACTAACATCCAAATTTCTATGCTATTAGGTTGATGATATGACAACTGTTAATATTCAACCACTTCTGATCTGCAGAAATGGCCGATTCATATGGTTCAACCTAGTATGAATTGTGACAGCTAAGGTCATTCAACAATTACTTATGCAGTGCCTAACCATGTATCAAGCACTATTCTAGGCTCTAGAGATCTGTCTGGGAATAAAACAGGTGCAACTTGTTGTCCTTGTGGTGCTAACATCCCAGACGACTGATCACTGACTAAATGAAACTGGAAAGAGACATTTATATTCTGTTTCCAACTGTGGTCTGAATTTGAGTAAGCAATACTTCATTTCACTATGAATGTTCAGAAAAGAACTTTAGGGACAGAGAAGAGAAATGCTGTGTGTTCATTCTAAATTCTAACTTTACACAGAAATTTTTACTTTATTAATTTACCTCTGAAGAAGTTCCATGTAGGATTTTGTCAGAACTTCGTGTTCTTCAGCCACAGACTCTAACTTCCTATTATGTTGAAAGAGATGCTCAATATCACTCTGGGCTCTTTCCGATTCAACCTGCTGTGACTTCAGCAACACAGCAAGCTCTTCATTTTTTCTTTCAACTTCTCTCAACATATTAGCAAGTGTCCGGGCCTAAAAGAAAATGGAATACTTTTCTACTATCATTTATGTAATATGCTCAGCTTCTATAATTTAAAAAATTAATGAAACAAATCTGTTTATTGTCAGTATTAGGCCAGTCTAGAGTGACAGGAAAAATTCTCCTCTCGAGCACTGTCAGGGGTGACAGTGGGCTCACACAGTGTTCAGGCGCTGTGAGAAGTATTGCACAGACGGCAGCACGGGGAGGAAGGGTCACCAAGAGTGTGGGAGCCAGAAGACCAGAGAAAAGCTTCCTGGGAAACGGAGGAAGCTTTTAACAGATCTAATTTAACAGGTTTAATAATCAAGAGCATTATTAAAAGACAGAGAAGAGAAGAAAAGGTATTCCAGATACAGAAGAGCAAGTGCAAGGGCAGGAAAACGTAAAAGTATGTCAAGTTTCAGAAACTGCAAGCAATCTAATATATTTGAGTGGAAAGAATGCAGAGAAGTGCAAGGAGACGGGGAACGAGTAGTAGTTAAAATCCCTGCGCAGTAAGTTCTTAGGAATTTAAATTCTCTTCTGAGCTCAAAGGTGAGATGCTGAATATTCGGCAGAGAAGCAACAGGATCAGAGTCCTGCCTCAGCTATGACTGTGCAGGAAGAGCAAAGAGGATGGGAAGACCCAAACAGCCAGTGACTGCGTGTGAGGGTGGAAGAGAGCAGGGCACTGGACTGAGGCAGGGAGGCTGACTAGAGGCTCTGCTGTCATCCATGTGGAGAAATAAAAAGGACCTGGCCTGTAACAAACAGCCGCGAGAACAGAGACAAGGCAGAAAGTGTCATGCAGAAAGCAGGATCAACTGAACGTGATGAATGACTCTGAACTGTGGCTTCTTGTTTGGAAAACTCTGGGAACAGAACAGGGAATACATAAGAAAGAATACGGTTTTGAAAAGGAAGGGTGATGAGTTCATCATTGGTCCCACCGCGCCTGCAGTATTTGCCATGTATTCAATGGAGCTACACAGAACATACTCAGTGTTTAAGGAGAAGGATCTGGGCTCGGCATACAAAATTTGGTGAGTCAACATTCTGGTAATGAGCAGAAACCATGAATCACCTAAATAAAGGAAAAGGGCTTAGAACATAATCTCACTCAACATTTAACAGGTGAGTAGATAAGATTTAGGAAAAGAATATACATTAAGGTAGAAAAAAGATAACTGTAACCAAAATTAAAGGGGAGATAGTTTTAAGACAGAGGAAGTAGTTGTGCCAAATGCTAAGGATAACGTACTTCAATCAGAATAATGAAGGTAAAACTAATATTTTGTAAATGTTCTATTTATCTATTTTTCTACTAATCAAATGTCTTTATATTGTACACACCTCAGTCTCAGCTTGAGTTCTTTGGCAGCGATACTGAGCAATCAGTCTATCAGCCTGTGCAAGGGCTAGGGCTTTTGCTTCTAAGAGATCCTGTAGCCTGCTTTCTTTGGACTGTAAGAAAACATACCATAAATCTTTTTCATTTGCTGGAAAATATCTCTTAGGGTTTAACTGACAGTCAAAATAAGGTTGTACTCACAGCTAATGTGGATAGTTTCATCTCATACACATCCATTATGTCAGATATTCTCACATCATTAATCTGATCCTTTACCTGGTTTTAATAAAGTAAAAAAAATCAGAAATCATTAGCACTCAATAAAAAAAAAACAACAACAGATAAACACCTACTGAAACCAAATAATTGAAACTCAATAACAAAGGGAAAAAAAGGATGTCTTATGAGGCAGATCCCAAACATCTCATTAACCTGACTCTGACAGAAGAATATCTTGGTGATCTGCCTGTGGGAATTTAAAGTATATTTAAACTGGGGGTGATGTGGGGTGGGGGTGGGAAGGTAGGCTGGTTTGGGAAGACTAAGGGAAAATTGATAGCTGTATTAAAATGTTGGAATTTTATGACTGAGTTTTTCTTGTTTCCACACTTTCCAGAATATTGCTACTCTTTATATTAAATAATGTTTCAATGATCAAATCTGCATCTAAAGTTGTTTAAGTAAATGTTATAATAAGAGTTGATATTTAGTTGGTATGTTGTGGCTCAGCTGGTAAAGAATCTGCCTGCAATACAGGAGACCTGGGTTTGATCCCTAGGTTGGGAAGATACCCTGGAGAAGGGAAAAGCTATCCACCCTAGTATTCTGGCTTAGAGAATTCCATGAACTGTATAGTCCGTGGGGTCGCAAAGAGTTGGACATGACTGAGCGACTTTCACTTTCACTTTAGTTGGTATGTACCAGGCAGAATTCCATTTTTCATGGCTATTTATCACTCACCACAACTCCAGATTGAAGTTTCTCTATTAATTCCTCAATGTTCAATCCAGGAACTCTATCTTTCCAAAGTGGAGGAGTTAAACATTTTACTGATGTTGGAAAACTGTGATTTAATGATTGCAAAGGCACTCTTCTAGGCATATGTTCTGTTTCCTGTTGTCTATAGGCATTGTTTGCTGCTATACTTTCTCCAAGTCTGAGTGGGAATCAAAATAAAAAAGAGAAATAATTATATGAAAATAGAGCAAAAGGCAGAGTTAGTATAGAATTAGGGACTCATTTAGAATTGATCTTTTGAGAGTTAAGTCTTCAAATATTTCTGAAATAATCTTGGACTCTATGATGAGGCAGAATTTGGGGAAACACCCAAAATTTGCCAGAGGGCAACTTTTCTACTTGTAACCCTTTACAATGACAACTCTACCTCTGGTTTGGAGCCTCCAGAACTAGTTTGTGAGTATGGATTATTTGTAAAAATTAGTTATTGGTACTGGTTAGAACATCCTTCTACCCATGGGCAATAACACCTGGCCTTTAGTTTTCCTTCACCCTTCCCTTTTCTCACTCAATATTCTTCTTACCAATCTGACCACCATTCTGCCCCTGCTTCTGAACATATCATCTAAATGGTTGAAACTGATGTGTACAATAGATAATTCTGTCTGACCATTATCCTACCTTCTTTAACGACAGAATTTTCTTTAGGAATCCTTTCCATGGTAAATGACCCAGATCTAGTCAATGAAAGCAATACTCATTTAGCACTCAAACAGCTGGGAAGGAAAAGCTCTTTCTATGGAGAAACTAAATTGGTAGGATGTAAGCTTAGTACAGAAGCTACTGCATTAAACAGAGGTGTTGAGACAGGCATAGCATCTGAATAATAAATTTAATCACCTGAATGGATCTAGCTATTTTCTAAATGAGTATACATCTGGTCTTCTGATTTGTTGAAATAAAAAAATTTTTAATCGAAAGTTTTTTTTATTTGAAGAATTACAATGAAGTCTTCAAATTCACTAATTTTCCAATTTGTCCATACTGAAGACTATTAAAGAAACTGGCAGGATATTCTAGCACCACGAGAGATACAATGCAAATGATTATAACTCACACTAATGCAGGAAAATCTGGCAGTGGAGAAGCTTCCAATAATATTCCCAATCCAGACTGCACTTGCTCTCTATTATCTGATGTTAAAGCAAAAGCCAGGGGAGTGATCAGGCGAGGGTCCTGTGCAAACCAGAAACCAGAAAACAAAGGCAGGCCTTTCAGAGTAAAGTGAGTAAACAGACCTAAACCATAAACAATTCTAGGCAAATTCTACAGCATTTCTATCTGATGTCTGAATGTATTTATTAGTCTTTACCTAATGTTAGTTTACAAAAATCTAGCAAAGGTTTTGAATGCTTTTACTGTGCCTAAGAAAATCATGTCTTAAAGTATCATCTACAACTGATTGATAATTTGAGTTACTGTTTTCTTTTTCTAGCTACCATTTAAAAGTAAAACTGGATAGAAGAAAAATGGTAAATCATTTCCAAATTAAAGTAAAAAAATAAGATTTAAATTAATTTCATAAAATATTTTAATTTAGTGAATGAAACAATTATACTTTAAAGTATAAGTACTTCATATCAGCAAATATTTTCATTAGTACTTTAAGCCTCAAATCATCTATTGTGGAAAAATTTTTATTGACTTAAATCAGTGTGACTCAATTTAAAATTTGAGTAAGTTGCTACTAGAGAAAAATATTATAATATAAATTCTTTATAATTATCAACATTTTAAAATGTTGAATGTTTTACAGGTACTCAAATATAATTGAATGCCACAGCACCATAGGAGATGGCTTTTACCTCCAAAACCCTCACGGTAACCCTTCATATCTCCTCCATGAAGGGGGATCGTTATTTCTACTTTGTAGTCAAGGAAACGAGCTCACAGAGGTGAAGCAACTCGCTCAAGTCTGTGCTAAGAAGTGGTGGAGTCAAAATCTGAAGCCCATCTTGTGAGCCTCGTGCTCTCCAAGTATACAAGTAGGTTCCAGTTTTGGCTTCTACCCTGTCTACACAGGCACCGGAGACATTTGTGTTATTACAGTAACTTAATTCACATGTTTGTTAAATATCTGTTATAAGCCAAATTTTGTGGCTATCAAGGAAAACATCTAGAACTCATGTTTAGCTACTATGGTCAATAAAGTTGGTGAGTTAGCTATTTTCTGCACACCTATCAAATTATCACTCACAATCAAGTCCTTTTCTTCCAGATGTCTTCTTCCTGCCTTAATACTCTACCTTATCAACCTTAACCAAAAACAAACACTCCAAAATAAACACCACTCCCCCCTACCATGAAGCCAATAGAGACAAATGAAGAAACCAGTAATACGACACAAGAAAGGAAAAGGCTGTGGAAGCAGGGCTGTCATGAATATTCCATCCTTCAGAATCAGAAGCACTGACGCTTAACCCTTGTGAAACTCCATAAAATAACTGTAGTGAGAATATTATGTTACATCAGACAATTAATAATTTGCAAATTTTTTCCAATGGCCAGTTCTAAGAAAAACATTAATCTTTTAAAGATTATTAAAACAGAAACATATATTACGAAACATTTATATATATCAACTTCAATATTTTAAGAGTTTAAACTCACCTGAAGGATTTTGTAGAAGCTTACTTCCATACCAGGAACCAGCTGTTTAAGTTTGTTCATCAAATCAAGAGTTTTCAAAATCACATCAGCAGCAAGTTTGCTTTAAAAATAAGTCATATTTAACTTAGATAACTCAAAAACTGCCTACAGCTTATTTCTGTCCATAAATCTCAAGAAAATAAAAACCCAAAACATTTGTTCTTAAACCTCAAGATTAACCACTCACTGTTTGTCATGAGAAGTAAAAATATCAGAGACCAACATCCTTATAATCCAAGAGCCAAAGAGAACTGGTATTAACAGTTTAAGTTTAGACAGTGTTTCTTTTCTAATCTCAAATACCAACATGTTTCAACTTTCACTTGAAATCACTAGCAGTACTAGCAACAGGACTCATTTAATTCTTAGCCTTGTCACTGGAATATTAACAGTAGAGGGCAGCTCTGCTTGTGTGGGTAATGTTTCAGTTGTGTCCAACTCTGTGTGACCCTGGGACTGTGGCCCATGAGGCTCTTCTGTCCATGGGATTCTCCAGGCAAGAACACGAGTGGGTTGTCATGCCCTCCTCCAGGGGATCTTCCAGACACAGGGATTGAACTGGCATCTCTTATGTCTCCTGTGCGGGCAGGCGGGTTCTTTATCACTAGCACCACCTGGAAAGCCTAAGAGGGCAACCTTCAGCAATGTAGAGTATCTAACATGTACTGAATGAATTATATTAAGCTGTTTTTCACAGCTTTTTAATTGAAAAGGAGTACAAAAAAGTAAAAAGAGATCATTGTTATTCTTGAGGAGTACAATTACTGACAATTATGACATTTATGAAAATTGGAACAAATTATAGTGATTAGCATTCAGTGGGTCCTCAACAAACACTTGTTAGATGAACTTAATTCATAGGGGAGGACAGTGGTAAAATAATCTCATTACTATCAGTGAAAATCCACATTTAACTGTAAGCCTTAACATGCTAGAGAAGAGTTGTCTTTATTACTAGAAACTTTCAGCAGTGATTGGTTTCTTTGAAATAAAAATAATCTTTGTTTTTTTTCATGCTTTGTCATTTCAAAATATAAAATTAAATAAATATAATTACTGAGTCAAAGTTAGGAAGGAACTCTAGAAAAAAAAAATGCACTGAAGCATAAAAGACTCGTAGATAATCACAATAAATTAAAACAAGACAAACAAACCTAAACAATGAAAAACAATCACAGATATTAATATCTCTGTTCAGAAGCACGTGATCTATGACTTAAATGAATTTTTTAAAAATTAAAAATTTTATTTTTAATTCTCTTCTATATCTTGAGTTAATAGAACATACCCAAGGATGATCCTTGAAAATGAATGAGAATCACTACATCTTTTGATTTTTATTAAATTTGGACTTACCATTTTGCCATTTGTATTTCATATACTCACCATAATTCAGAATCTGCTACCTTTGTTCCAAAGCCCATATCAATCTTGCCATATGTAAACTGTTGTTCTATCAGAGTGGTACACTTGATAGTAGTGAGAATTTTTGCAACATGCATTTTTAGAGTGTCATCTCCACACAGAGGTTAAGTTTTGTTAAGAAAAACAAAAAATTCTAAAAAAAAAAAATCCCTATATTTGTATAGCACTTTACAGCATTTAGGATGATTTCAACAAATTATTCTTGTCACTGCAATTTGGTGTAATTATTGCTACATTAGCTCAATGACAGATTAGGAATTTAGGAGCTCAGAGCCATTTAAATGACTGACAAGTGGCAAGAGATGGGACTGCCACCAAAGTTTCTGACTCAAAAGTAAAACAGAAAGGATCTGCTTTTCACTGGATGTTAGTTTTTTATTAACAGGTTTCACAATGGGTCAATAAATACTTGCTGAAATAAGGGAAGTTATTTTCTCATTTGTTTTTTCTCAATTTCTAAGTTAATTTGAATATCTATTATTAAAAAGAGGTTAAGTTTGGTACTATTCAATGAGAGGAGGCCTAAATATTTTAGAGAGTATCTCAAGGTCAAGCAAAATAGTCCTGCCTTTACAGCAGTGGTTTTCAACTTTGGCTGGACCGTTTACACAGTCACAAACATGCCTTCCCGTCCCAAGGTTCCACATTATTCTAACTGAATCAGAGTCTCTCGAAGTAGGAGTCAAGCATCACTATTTTTAAATGCTCTCCAGATGACTTTAATACCCAGCCAGAATTAAGAAGCACTGCCATCAAGAAAGAAGAAAACTAAGCAGGAGCAGCTCAGAGAAGAGATTAAAAAGATGCTGAGTGTGCTATAGGGCAGGACAACATCGACTCCATTCTTGCTGCTCTGAAACACAAGGTTATCTTTTTTATAAGTACATGTGATGTCATCTTTATTGAAACATTTATGGAGGTGTTAATTTTTAAAACACAAGCTAAAAAACTAAGCTAAAATAATAACTACCAATATATTTTTCTTCTCTGATATACTCTATCACAACATACATCATCCAGGGGCAGCAATCAGCATCAAAAGAGAACATCAGGGTATTTATTTATGTATCTACTAACCTCAAATTATGATAAAAAATGTACAAATCAAACTTAAAAGCATTTCTGAAAATGTCTGAAAGTTTTACACAGAAAAACATGGGAAAAAAAGTCTTGTAACTTTTTCTAAGAGACTCTTCCCTGAGTATCAGTTCTTTAATTTAAACTTGAGTTCAGTAATTCTGTACAGATTCAAGCATGAGAGGTATAAAATTATAAAGACATAAAGACAGTAAAAATGCAGAAAATAAATTCTAAAAAATATAAGCAGTTAGTTTCCATAGTTAAACTGAAGGATATTTAACAAAACTTCAATGGCTTTGACCATTCTTGCACATTTTTTCCTTATTAAGGCTTCATCTAGGTTTTGTTCTGTGAACTGAAGCTGATCAAGGATTGTAGGCAGCAGAAGACTCACAAAACGGTCAGCTGAGGAACAGTTAGCAGTATCTATGACATCCTGGAGAATTCACCACCCCAAAGATTAAAAAAAGAGAGAGAGACAGAATACACAATGCATAGTCATCACTGAACTGCAACACTCTTTCAATTTCTTATACAGATGATCCTTGAACAATGTGAGTGTTAGGGGTGCCAACCTCACCATGCAGCTGAAAATCTGAGTATAATCTAGTTGGTCCTGGCCTCCTGCATCTGTGATTCTGCATCTATGGATTCAACTAACCTTGCAGACTGTGTAGTACTGTAGTATTTACTATTGGAAAAAAAATCCACATATAAGTGGACCCAAGTAGTTCAAACCTATGCTGTTCAAGGGTCAATTGTAATTACTTCAGATATTCTTGACCTGTGTCTCCTTTCATCCAGTTTTGAGGGCTATGATGACTTTTTTTTTATCCAATGTACCAGTCTCAAATAAGACTTTTTAAAGTGGACTCTGTGACTTAAAAATTATTCAAAGTAGGTACTGAAAACAAATATCATGAAGATGCTAAATGCAATTACAATAACTAAGAGACACTGGTATTAACACTTTACAACCACAAATAATTCCCATCAAGGATCTCACAGGGCCTTTTCAAAGCTAAAACGGATTGTTAAGTCAAGATCAACATGAACCAGAAAGAATAATTTGTGGATAATCCTTAACAAATATATTCAATCACTCGTACACATTTTGGTTTGTGCACAGGATCTAGTCATGACAGTCACGAGAGGGTAAACATTTGGGAAAACGCTGGTATCGACAGAATGGGTATAAAAACAGGCAAACAGCAGAGAAAACACAATGGCCTAGACAGCAGAATCTATCAGAATTTAATGGCCTCTATGAAAAGGACTTTTTTCCAGGCTGCACTGCATGGCATGTGGGATCAGTTTCTGGACCCCAGATTCAACCCATGTCCCCTGCAGAAGAAGAGCAGAGCCCTAACCCACTGTACTATAAGGGAATTCCCAGTAAAGGATTTTTGTTTATATCCTTAAATACCTGACATGTTCCACTCTATCTGACTGACTGAATTCAATGTTCCTATATACCCGCTCAATAAAAACAGCAGACAGTATCTACTGAGATGGAGAGGCAGAATGTAACTATTGCCAAGTACAGTCATACATCAACAAACCATACAGATATTAGTCATACCTTTACTTATTATACTGAAAGGAGTATATGTAAGTTATATAGTGAAAACACAGAAGTCTCACTAATAGTTGGGACTTGGCCACAAAAACGAAATTCAGTAACTAGGGTGTTACTACTAGAAGTAGGGAGTCCAGTAATTGCCAAGTTTTCCCAAAGGGTATGAACGATTCTAAATTTATTATAAACTTATAATAAACATTTTAGAAAACTGTCTACTGAGAATCGTAAGAGCAGAAAAGTCAATTTGTTAGTCACTCTAGTACCTCAAATATTTCCTTGAACAACTCCAGTGCTAAAACAGAGCAGTTTTCCGATCCATCCAGAGGCTGGTGTGACCAGCGAAGGAGAGCCACAGTCGGCTCTAAAGACTTAGAACGGCTTCCCAGAACGGCGCTGCCAGACGGGGGTTGTTCAAATACCATCTGTGTGAGCGCGTGGCGCAGCTGAGTCACTGAACAGAAGGCAAGAAGTAATTCTAAAACCTGTGCAATATAAAGTCTTCATTAAGGTCTATTTCATTAGACTTCAATGTACAAAGCAACCAAAAGATGAAGTTGGAAATGATATTTATTTTTAAAGAAAATAAAATAAAAATTAAAAGTTGCTTCCCATTTTTCTCAGAGTATTATTTCTCAAAATGTGTCATTAGGTTCCAGAAGGTTACAAATAAACTTGTTAAAGGTAGTTACTTCGCTTAAGAGGACTATGGGAACTGAAGATGGGCAACTTCAACTAATGTTATATCCCTTCCACAGTACTTAATTTTTCTTCAGCACAAACATGTTGTCTCATGCTAAGATTTATGAACTGCTATAAAGTGTACTTCAGGATTTTCAAAATGGCATCCCAAAGCTTTGAAACTTTAAGGATGGCTGTTTCCGCAGTTTACACAATGGTGGCAATATGCCCCTCAGCCTGCTTCCCTGGTCCACATTTCTTCTGTGCTTCATAACTGAGCCTCATGCCATTACATAGCATCCCACATCAACTTGTTTATTAGTTATTAAGTTAAATTCTACCTTATTTAACATACTACCAACTTATTAAAAAAAAAGTTTTGGTATCTCTTTGTCTACTTATTTCCACCTTTATCTGTTCCTTGTAAATGACATACAATTGGGATTTGTGTTTTAATCAACCTGACAGTGTCTGATTTTAATAGAATTCAACTCATTAGCATTTACTGTTACAAATGATAAACTCTTTGACTTATTTTCTTTTAAATACAAATTGTAGTACTCATTTTTGAATAGATAATACAATCACTTGGTTCCAAAGTCAAAGGTATCGACCTGACCTCTACCTAACATTCCCTGGAAGCAACAGACACTATCGCCAGTTTCTTATTTACCTTACCAGAGATTATGTACTGCACATAGAAGCAAATACTCTCATTTACAATTTCTCTATAAGCGTAACATACAGGGAAATAAAAACGTCAATAGCTAATGCAAAGCCAGCTGTTTTCCCCAAAGTGAATTACCTGAGTAACTAGCAACTAGATCACGAGAATTCCATCAAGACTCCTGATTCCCTTGAGTCCCCTTCCAGATAATGCCTCAATCACTACTTTGACATGAGATTTTTGACACCAGACATTAATTTTACCTTAGCTATTCTTGGATCTTTGCATTTCCATATAAAATTTTCAAATCAGCTTTCCATATTATATTAAAAAACTCACATGGAACTTTACATATAAATACAACCTTACAGGGTACACTTTTACATCTGATTTTTTTTAGCTTAGCATTATGTTAGTGAGATTCACTCATATTTTCACATGCAGCTGCACCTCACACATCCTCACTGCTGCATAATATTCCAGTGTATAAACATACCACAGTTTATTTGCCCATTCCACTGTTGCAGGCATTTATAGTTTACAATTCCTGGCTATAGTTAACAACGCTGCTGCATTTTATACATGGTGAATACACGTATTCAACTCTGAGGTACATAAAAGAGTGGAATTGCTGGGTCATAGTTTATACATGTATCCTATATTAGTAGATAATACCAATTTTCAGCCATGAGTATCTCAACATTCCTTCCATTGTCATCTATGCTTGATAGTATCCATATTTTAAATCTTAACTATCTGGTGGGTGTGTAATGGTATTATAGTACCATTTAAATCGGCATTTCCCTGAAGATTAATAAAGTTGAGCAACTTTTTCACTCTTTAAATTATTAGTGGCCTTCTCATGAACAGAAAAGCTCTTAATTTTAATGTAATCTAACTTCCCAACATTTTTTCCTACATAGTTCCATGTTTTTGTTTTCTGTTTAAGAAAATCTTCATCCCAAGGCTACGCAGATACTCTGCTAGATGTTTCTTTTAAAGTTCACTATTTTCCTTCCACACTGAGAGCTACAATCTCTATAAGACCGGTGTGAGGTAAGACTTTGTATCTGGTGTGAGGTAATGGTTAAAATTCAGCTTTTCCCCATATGGATATTCAATTGTTCAGTATCATTTACTGCAATGATCATATTTTTAAGAGTGTACTGTTATCAATCAGGATGCTATATTCTGTGGGTTTGCTCGCACTGCATTCTGTTCCACTGAGCTAGCTGTTTACTCTTATGACAATACTGTACTATTTTAATTACTGGAGCTTTGCATTATGCTTTAATATCTGGTACTATAAGTCCTCTAGCTTTGTTCACTTTTTTCAAAATAGTCATGGCTATTTTTAAACCCTTGCATACCCATATAGAGTTTAATAATCAGCTTCCCAACTTCCATATACACCAAAAACAAAAAAAAACCTAAAGCTTGCTATAATTCTGACTGACCTAATATGGTAAACTCATCCAATCTATGAACTTGCTCTATCTGTGTTTATTTAGGTTTTTTTCTATTAATGTTTTGTAATCTCAGAGTAGAGGCCTTGTACATGTTTTATTGGGCTTATCCCCTAGGCATCTGCATTTTAAAAAGCAGTAAATAGTACCAGTTTTAAACTTTCATTTTCCATTTAACACTCTCTATGTCTTTTGTGAGCTTACTGACATATCTCTCAACTATGTAGAGAAGGGTAGAATCTGTGCCATAGGGTTTACATGTGTTCAACAGGCACTGTGAAAAATTTCTCAAAAGGATTATGCCAGTTTATGAGGATTCAAGGAGGGTTCTAAATAGTGGTACTATCTGGTTTCTTGCTTGAGATCTTGGTTACATGGCTGTGCTCATTTTGCAAAGATTCAGAGATCTGTGCACTTTTCTGCATATTGTAGTTTTTAAAAACTAAAACCAAAAAGCTATATATACCTTTGAAGAAGAATCAGGATCCTTTCCATTAAGAAGACCTAATACTTGATTAAGACATGAAGAAAAGTGCTCATACCTAGGTTTAAAATAAAAACATACATGAAATGATAAGTATGAAATTGATACATTAAAAGTATTTTTATATAAGATAATCATACTGTTCAGATGTAAAACTGGCTTTGCACAGATTAATCAAGATATGTATATTCTGGAGAATAGCACAACCTTATTTACCTAAGACAAAGTAAAAAATACACACATACCCTTGTTATACTTTCACATTTCAAGTCAGAAAAAAAAGAATGGGAACTTGCACATGAAAACATTCTGATTTTAGTCTATTGTGCATCAGTAGAGTCCAAGTTTCCTTTGTGTAAAAAGGCAATTTTATTTACTACAAATGCATCTTTGTTTAAAAAAAGTCCTACATTTGTCAGATGGCCGTACCTGGTAAGATAATCAGCAATTTTAGGATTCTTAAGAAGATCCACCAGTAGATCAACTGAATACTTTCTGGTCAATGTGCCATCCCCATTTATGAGAATATTAAATATTAGCTGAAATGTCTGATGAATATTTCGAGCATGGAACAGCTTAAAAACAAATCAGAAAAAGGATATTATACAAAAATAAGTTTAAGTTGACACCACCCTAAAACTCAGACAGTCTCAATAACTTTTAAAGTATCAAAGGATATAAACTTTAGAATTAGTTTCATAAATTGCAAAAAAGTTTTTACCTTTTCCCCAACCTCTTCGTTTAATGTCAAACTGGATAATATTGAAAGTGCAAACACAACCACAGTTAAACTACTATGGGCCAAGAAGCTTATAAGAGTTCGATAAAAAGATTTCACATTATTCTGAGGAAGAAAAAAATTTAAAAATAGATTAGAATGAAAAAATTATGAGCCTTACATTTTGTTTTAAAAAGTGTATCTTGCACAGAATAGGTAAACTTTTATTAAATATTATTACCAACTTAGAGATCATTCAAGGCGTTAAGATGGGACTTTCACAAATCGCTCATAGTAGTATAAACGGGTACAATCTGAGTAAACAGCAGTGTGTAGTCTGAGTTTATGAGCAAATGTTTACCTTTCTCAAACAGTTTCATGGCTCAAAATAACCTCCACCAACAAAACAGGATGAGGTCAGAAAAATCCAGCACATGAACAAATGAGATACTGTTAAATTTAAAACTAAACAAGTAATACTGAATATTGTACAGCAAAGGAACTGTTCATAAAGCAAATTAAAGAATCAATGAACTTTCCTGATTTAACATATTTCTAACAGTGGTTCAAATAACCTCATTTGAGTTCCTTCACTTCTCACAAGTATTGGTAGTGATGCTAGGCACTTATGAATCTTTTTGGGAAAGTTGTGATTGATTATGTAGAAATACAAGACTGAGGTAAATGCAACTGCCAATGGCATGTTTCCCCTCTACTAGCACAAAATTCAGCATTTCTTATATTATTCAACAGGACAAATAATGAGATGCTACAGAAGAAAAACTTCTAGTATTTAAATTAACATTTGTATTAACTCGTCTTAATTAAACATATATGAAGGCTAGAGTACTTCAAGTTATTTACCTCAATCTGATGCTTTGTTAACTTTGATGAGTCAGCTAGACAACACAAATTCTTGTTAAATTTCTTTTTAAAGGAAAAGGTGAGCCTACCACAAAACAAAAGAAACATTTCATAAACTTCTTACCAAAGTCTTTATGTGCGTTTGAACAGAAAGATTGTGCCTGCAAACATTTGCCAATAATCCTAGACAAGGCATTGTCAACTCATCTTCAGAAGATTGACTGTTTCAAGAAAAATAATAAAAGATAAAAATATTAAGTTCCTTCCAAATTACTCAAAAATGGTCATTTACACATTTAAATTCCTTGTTTTATAAGCAAAAAGAAAAATGTGATTAACATGTGAAGACTGCCAAGTTTTGAATAGTATTGAACATTTATTTCGTGTTTTGAAACTAAATGATCCTACTCAATACAGCATAAAAATACAGAAATAACTGTCAGAGTAATCATATGCTATCTCATCAGTATATTCTTTCAAGAAGATTAAATATAATTTTCAGTTTCAGTAAGTTTTTCTGTTTCAATCAATTCATTTTAAATTTCTGTTATAAAAATTGAAGTTGTTCTACACCATTTGATCCTTGAAATCATCCAATGAATAAACAGGAATCATTATCTCAGTTTAAAAATTAGGAAAAAAAATTAAGAAAAATTGAATTATTACATATTTTAGTTAAAAATAAACCAGTAAGTCAACACAATGTGTTCCTGAAAGTTGCTCAGTCTTGTCCAACTCTTTGTGACCCCATGGACTATACAGTTTATGGAATTCTCCAGGCCAGAATACTGGAGGGGGTGGCCTTTCCCTTCTCCAGGGGATCTTCCCAACTCAGGGATTGAACCCATGTCTCCCACATTGCAGGCGGATTCCTTACCAGCTGAGCCACAAGACAAGTCCAGGAATCCTGGAGTGGGTAGCCTAACCCTTCTCCAGCGGGATCTTCCCAACCCAGGAAATGAACTGGGGTCTCCTGCATGGAGGTGGATTCTTTACCAGCTGAGCTACAGGGAAGCCCCATGTGTTCAATGTGTTCCTCTTTCCCCATGTATTTTTGCTTGTCAGTGTATTTCTTGAATGGTTTCATATTATTTCTTTCCTGTCTGTGAAATGGTTTTAAAAAGAAAACTTGGGACTACAAGTTGTACAGATGTATGTTTTTACCTGACTGTTATACCACAAGTAGACTGTTTAGTTAAGTTAGTTAAGAAGAGTCAATTGATAGCTTATATTTGTTTTTAAAGTTAAATTAATCCTGGATAAGAGTTTCTTGGTTTTTTTTTTAAAGGAGTTAGTCCTTGACCACTAGTTTGACACCACCTCTATTTTAGGTGACTTGTTTCACCAGCAGGCCTGTTACTCTCTATGACTAATTGTGTAAGTGCTTATAATGGAATCAACTGCTTTTCTACATTAAAAAATAAATAAATAAACCAGTAGATTATTTGGTTAAATGTGTGGTTGCATACTCACATATGATCTATCAGGAATGTAATTAATTCATCTATATTGGCACCAGAATGCAAAATTTTGATGTTGTATGTTAACCTCTGCAGAAGCTGAATGCACTGAGAATAAGAAAATAGCAATGAATATAAACACATAAAAATATATTTGCATGATCACAAAAATGAACTCCTACACATATTCTGAGCATGTAACCATTTTAGGAGGCATTTAGAGTAAAAATCTTTCCATATCTTAGAAAGGTTCTATTTTCACATGTAAGTAAAGAGATTTTACTTAAACATACACAATTAATGAGACCTTAAAAGTTCATCTCCTGACTCATACATTTCTATACATTCTATCTCAAACACAGCATCGTGTCATCAACCTGGCTTACTTAATCATCTTAAACTTATATGCAAGTTGAGAATATATTCTGTCAATTCTGAGATATACATTATTCATATTTCACCACCTTTAAAATCGCATGTCAGTTTAATGTGCCATGTTTTTCTTTCTTACAACTGATGGCATTTTAGGCTCAAAGAAATACAGGTATAAGAGCTTTGAGCCTATGCTAAAGAAGACTAAATCTATAGCTTCAATTTTTATACAATGTTTCCTTAACAGTATGAGACTACATGCTAACTTTAAATTATAATTTTAATACGAACAGTTTATACTTCAAAATGCTGATAGCTATGTTTATAAATCTGTCAAAATAGTTATCATGTGAATTTTTCTTCAATAACAGTGCTAGATGTAAATTTTCTTCTTTAGAATCTCTTAAGTGGCCATACATGTGACTAACCAGTTTTTAAGTTTATGGATGGTGAGAACTGTGCCTAACCACGCAGTGTTAATGCCAGCATGCAGTAGCACACTGCACGTCAGCACTTCATAATGCATACTATCAATTCTGATTTGAAAATAAGAATAAGCATGAAGTGGAAAGTAGGTGTGTATACCTGCAGAAACACTGAGTCACTGTGGCAAGTACTGCTCCGACAAACCACGCCTGCCAGCACACTGTTTAGGTTGTATGTATTCTGAAGACAGTCTCTGGTTTCATTGTCTACAGCTGTAAGTTAAAATAAAAGGACACGAAGTAGATCATCTTTATCTATGGCCTTCATGGATGAAACACAAACAATTTAAAACTTATTTCATATTAAATTTACCATTATATAAAAATATAAAATATGATGCGGCTATTTTATTTACAAATACCCCCCAGTTCAGAATTTCAACCATGGTGGCTACTATACTGGACAACACAGATATAGAACATTTTTATCATCTATTTGAAATGATCTGTTACCACTTCTGTATCAGGTTTTTTTTTTTTTAAATAAGCATGTACTAATTTTATAACCACACACAGAAATATCTCCCTTGTACCCCCAAACACAAATCAGGAAAAAAAGTAACCGGTGAATTAAAACCTAAAAACTAAGACAAGGTAGGAAAAAACAAAAAAGCAACACTTGCGTTTTTAGCTTTTAGCTCTAGGTTTAGTATAGTCTGGGCTTCCCTGGTGGCTCAGAGGTTAAAGCATCTGCCTGCAATGCGGGAGACCTGGGATCGATCCCCGGGTCGGGAAGATCCCCTAGAGAAGGAAATGGCAACCCACTCCAGTTATTCTTGCCTGGAGAACCCCATGGACAGAGGAGCCTGGTGGGCTACAGTCCATGGGGTTGCAAAGAGTCAGACACAACTGAGCGACTTCACTTTCACTTTAGTACAGTCTATCAAAAAAAGGATGATATTTTGATCACTAGTTATGATTTTCTAATACTGTTCATACTGACACTTGTGCATGTATTTTTTTAATTTGAAAGCAGGCCCACATTTCTCAAGGTACATTCTTTTCTGTAGACCACTGAACCCTTGATATGCTTCAGATTCTCTGTTCCAATGACCTTAAAAAAAGGTGCATATAATATTCCCGTTACAAGAGATCCACAACAAGATAGTTCCAAGAGGTCCTGCAGCGAAGAAATCTTTTTTTTTTTTTTTAAGAAATTATTCAAATGTGAATCATCCTCCGAAAGATTCTGTAATGGAACCTGCCCTTTGAGAAAATACTAAATTCATGCATCTTCTAAAAAATAAAAGAGAAACTAAATACATTACCTAGTTGAGATAGCAAACTGATGATACTTAAGATCAGTGGGGCACTTATGTTTGGGTCTTCAAGTAGTTCTACAAGGCAACTTAAGCATTCACTTGGTAGTATCTGATTTGATGTAAACAATCGAGTGAGCTTCTGTCCAGAAATTACCTAGAAAACAGTCATTAAAATGTGTTAGTTAAGAAATGGCAGTTTTCACTTCTTCTCCATTTTAAATAAAAACCCAGTTCTTCCAAAGTGGCACTGCCACACTCTTCCCCAGTTTAGAAAATTCATACACACTGTCCCTCTGCATGGAAGATCACCTACCCTTCACTCACTCACTAATGTAATTATTCCAGTCTCGGCTTTGTTTCCTCTAAGCTTTCTCTAATTCTCTTCCACTAACTAGGTTAGGTTTGCCTGTTACACTATCCTATGGGACATTACAAAAAGTACACATGAATCCACTTATCTGGACAGGGGACATCTGAACAATCCGTGTAAGGGACAACTTATGTGGTGCTGGAAATGTTCTATCTCATGATAACAGGTCGTAGCTACTCGAGAGTACACTTAGGTTTAAAAAATAAATAAAACTACCAAGCTCTTCATTTAACATTAATGCACTTCATGCAATGTATGTGTGTTCTTTCAATTAAATGGTAGAACAGTTTTTGGTAAACCTCTTGAAAAGTCTGGGAACAGAGTATATAGAAGTCAATCTCTAAGCTTCAAATTTCTTTGAAGTCCCTTTCAATTCTTGATAACACTCTGTTCAGGTTCACAACGTACCTGTTTATTCTCAAAAATAAGAAATGTTTCAGATTACAATCTAAAATTCTTAACTTAATTCTTAAAGAAAACAAGTATTCTTAGGAGACAGGCAGCTCAAGTAGTAAGAAGAGGAAGGAGCACCAGAGAACAGACACAGTGCACACCAGTTAGAACAAAGGCTAATGTTGCGAGGCCATTCACAGCAGCCTTCTTTGCAGCAGTTTCTAATCTTTGCAAATTTAGCCTTTTATCACAGGGTTATTATAATAAATAGGATACATTTTAAAATTATGTTCAATTCTACGCTGAGAAGCTGCAACATAGAATTAAGGGTAACTTTGAGCTTAATTACTTTTTATTAAACTGATGTCAATATTAGTTGGAATTCCATGAAAGTGTAACAAATGACAGCCGGAGTTTAAGACTCTAGAAACAAACAGGATCACAGAAAACTATGATTATACCTTTTAACACAAAATAGGCACCATCTAGAAGCAAATCACTGGGAAGTAACAGAAAAAGTGACAATTCAACATTTTAGGACTGAAAAACTGTGAGCAATACATTTTGGTAAAGAAAAAAGGATTATGATTGCTAATAAAGAAGATTGGTTCTCAATCCAGAGTAAATTGAAACAATAATTTTCAAGCTCGAGATCAACATGAGTTCAAATAAAAGTAATAAGCAACAGGTTCCGATTGCAAACTGCCTAAGGGACAAGAGATAAATCATTTTAATTCCTGTTCTCTAGCACCTCCACCTTCGAGAACTGCTGTACCTCTGAAAATGCCTGTTACGATGGAAAAACGAAAATAAGAAGCAAAGGAAAGGATACAGCTCCGAGCTCTTTCCTCTGCCAACTCCAAATACGCTGAAATTGCCCACCTTTTGTCTCCCGCCTTCCTAGGGCTTTCAGTACTCTTTCCTCACTGCAGGCAGCGGAACGCGGAGAGGCTTGGGGTTGGGTGGGATTTCAAAGGTGACAATCACTCGCTTCCTTTAGCAATACAAAAAGACAACGGAGGGAGCGCGGAGTTGCCCTTTGTTTTCGAGGTTGAGACCGCTACAGCCGCGGCCACCAAGTGAACGAAGGCTACAGGGAAGTCCGTCTCGTCCGCCACCCCCGGAGCCCCTCACTTACCTCCAAGTGCCGCAAAAGCTGAGCGGTGTTCGCCTCGGACTTAACGGCTTTATACTGACTGATGGAAAGAAGCAAAGACTTCAAGCAGGCGGTGGAGTCCATCCGGACCCGCCACGGGGCCGCTTGGAGCGGGTACCACCACCGTCCTCCAGCTTTTACCGCGCTTTTTTTTGATTTTTCTTCTCCACCCCCTCGCTCCCAGAAGCCTCCGATTCCGGTTGAGCTCCGGAAGTCCCTTGGCAACTTGAGGATGGCACCCTACGAAGGAAAGGGAGGGCTGGGATGGAGTGGTGGAGGTGGGGGTGTCGAGGCCCAGTCTTAGTCCCTGAGGCGGGCCGGGAGTTGTTCTTTCAGACCCCCGATCTGAAAAGCCGCGAGGTTTTAGTTCGAGATCCCGTGAAGCTGAGGAATCTCGCGACAAGTCAATTGCGGCTCCCCTGGCATAGGGGGCGGTTGGGTAGCCGGGGGTCTCTGTTCGTCAGTGATCGCCGTTTGCCTTTGCTTCCTTGGCCTTCACCGTGTGTGGCCAGTTTTTTCTTTGTGCGTCATCCTCTACCTGAGAAATGGTTGCTTTACCCTGGTCTAGACACGGTGAGGAGCTCCGAGGAGGAGAATCTTGGGTTCTAGATTTTGAGGCGGCCCGAGAGAGGCCTCTTTTAAAAATCGCTTATTTGTCCACCGCTTCTGCTGAGGAATGTTTGTTTCTCAGAGTAAACCTATGGCCGTTCGGATTCGGTGCAAGTTAGTCCTGCGCTTGTGATAGCCGCTGTCAATTTATTTGAGAAAGCTGGCCCAGGTGACTCCTGTGCCAGCTGTCGCTCCGAAGGCTGTTCTTATTAGCGTCAGTCTTGTGAGTGGAGGTGTCTGCTTTTATCTGGCGTGATTGATTGCTTTATAAATCTTGGTGTCTAAGGAAATGGCACTGTTTGCGGTTTTTGTTCAGAAAGAGTATTATGTATGTGAATATCATGAAATGAGTCAGACTGGTTCTGGAGCTTTTTTGCTTAATGTAGCTATTGTTGAATGAAGCTTTGAAAGCCAGTTTGGAGAAAATTTTAAGAACTGGGTACACATCCTTTTAATTAAACCATTTGTCAGAAATGTTTTGTCAATTCAAAGAAAGCCTGTTTTGCGTCACTACATTTTTAAAGACAGGAATTATTTTTATATTAAAAAGCAATTTAATTCTGAAAGGTAAAAAAATAATTGAGGCATAAATCATTAGGTAATTAATGTGTTTATGCGTTTATTCATTCTGTAAGCAATTATCGAGTGTATAAAGTGGGCTAATCCTGCTAGTTAGGGACCCTGCTGGGAAGGAATTAAATGAAATGTACTGGATAATAGTACATACAGAACTGACCAATTAGAGACATCATGCGATTATGGTAAAGAGTGGAGCCAGGCTGTTTGCTTACAAATCCTAGGTCTGCCTTTTACTGTGTGACCGTAGGCACATTCTCACTGTTTGGATCTCATCTTGAAGTAAAATCTAATGGTAGCGTCTATTTCATAAGATTGCTTATTCAATAAATAGCTGGAGCCTGCAGTGTGCTAGGCATTGGTCTAAGCACTAGATTTGGTAAATAAAGTAAAAATCCTATTGTCATGAAACAAAAATCCTACCATTACATTCTGATAGGGGAAAGAAAAACAGTAAATAATAAGCACAGTAAGGAAAGTGAGATGGAGAAAAAGAGAATTACTCCTCTAGAGTAATGGTTTAAAAAAAGGGGGAAATGGGAGGTCAGGATAGAGAAAGCAACATTTGAAAAATACTTGAAGAGTTGAAAAAGACCTATGCTCTCTAAGGGGAAACATTTCTAGATAGAATAGCAAGGGGAAAAGCTTTGAAATGGAGCCTGATAATATAAGGAACAGCAAGGACTTTGCTATGGCTGGAGTAGAAAGAGAGGATGAGAGTAGTAGAGATGAAGTCATGTCGGGTTATAAAATTAGCTAACCAATGAAGAACAGTTGTCTGGCATAGTTATGTTCTCAGCAAGTGTCAGTTACGTCTTAGGTCTTTGGCAATACAGTGATAACAGTTTGACAGCATTAAACTTTTCATTCATAATGATAAATGCCTTAGGATTGTCCCCATTTAGATCTGAGGGAAAGGGTCAAAGCTGTTTGCTCAAACTGCTATCCTTCTTTGAAATATTGCATTTTAACTTGAGCAGTCGCACACATTTTGCATCTCCATATTTATTTTAACATGAAATAACATCTTTCTGAGAAAATCTTCACCAAAAATTGAGCTGTGAAAAGGTCTGACATCTTTTGTCAGAGGTACTTGCGTATCCCAATATGAGAAACAGAGCTATATTTTTAAGACCCAAAAAGGTGAAAAGGAGGAGGAAGTGGAGCTGGGTCCAGATGACTAAAGGCTGTACTAGCCTTTGAGCTGGGACTCTGTCTTGAATTCAGTGGTGATCTCTGGTTTCAAACTGGGTCCTGATAGTTTGGTTTGTGTCTTAGACTGATTACTCCGACACTCTGAGGAAGATAAGCCCAGAAGTAGGGAGAATATTTATTTTACTGGAGTCTTTCCAAAAGATGGCTGAGATAATTGGAGTTAGCAAAAAGCTAACAAATTTAAGAAATATATATGAGGTGAAATAGGTAGGACTCTGAATGATTTCAAATGGAAGGATGAGAGGGATAAAACTAGAAGGGATTCCAAGTTTCTAGTCTGGCTGATAGAGAAGATTTAGAAACTGCTGAGGTAGTCAATGTTAAGTATTCACGTTGTATTTTATGTTCAGTGAAATATTGTGTAGCTCATATAGTCTTGTACCATTCTTATATAATTTTTGTTACTGTGAGTGGGTTCTCTTTTTCCCCTAAAAATTTTTAGTTTGTTTTTGCTACTGTTAAAAGAGAAACTGATTTGTGGTAGATCTTTTATTCAGTTTACTGACTGAAATTTCCTTATTGATTCAATTTTGCTTCCTCTCTTAAATTTTCTAGCTACATATCACCTGAAAATAATAATTTAATCCCTTCCAATATTATTTGTCTTACTTTATTTCATTAGTGTAATTTCTAAAATATGGAATAATCATAATGATACCGAACATCGTTACTTCATTGAATGAGAATGACCAGTATTTTAATGCTTTGTATAATTTGTGCAACAGTTGCTAAGAGATAAGTATTCTTTAAAATGTTTAGGCAATACCAGTTTTATTTAAAGATTTGTCAGAATGTCTGCTAAAAAGTTATCAAATATTTATATATCTTATTTTTCCCTTTAAAATGGTAGCTTGGTTAATTGTAACAGCTAACACATATTGAGCATTTATCATATGCCAAGCACTGTCCTAAGAACTTAGCTATTTGGTCTTTATAATATCATGCTTTACGTACTGTTACGATCTCTGTTATGATCAGATGGAAAAATTTGAGAGAGTTGAAATAATTTGCCCAAGGTCACACAAGTAGTAGTAGCAAACATTGTATTTGCTGCACTGCAGATATTTTATTCAGGGTTTTATATTTATGTTTGGGAGAATTTAAAATAGCTTTTTCTTTATTCTTTCTTTTGGAATTTGGGTTGTTACTTTTGAAAAATGAATTGGAAAATTTCCATCTTTTTTTCTTTGCTGTAGATTAATGAGACTCACATAGGAATCATCTGATTCTTGTAGATTGTGTATAACTAACCTATAAAATCAAGTGTGATAGCTCGTTTAGTGGTAGATTTTTAGAAGACATTTGAATTTATAATATGGTTATTGATCTGATCATTTTTTCTACCTTTTCTTTAGTGAACTTTGGAAATAAAAATTTTTAGCATACTGACTCTTTCTCTAAATTTGAAAATTTATTGATGTATCAGTATTCAATAATTCTCTTAATCTCTTCTTGGTAGATTTAAATTTCCATTTTCATTATAAGTTATCTGTTTTCTTAGTTATGCTTTCTGGGAGTTGTCTATTTTATTTAGTTTTTCAAGAACCAACTTTGATTTTATTGATCTTGCTTTTTTTCCCTTCAGAATCAGTAATTTTACTTTTCTCTTTAAAAATTCCATCCACATACATGTGTTTTTCTTTTATTTGTTCTTTTTATAATTTTGTAAAGTTGAATGTTTAGTATATTTCTAATACTGTATTTATTAAAGATTATTCACTCCAGAAAAATTTAAAAAGTTATTAGCTAAAGTGAGTGTCTGCATTGTACTTAAAAAATGTTTATTTTAATCAGATAAATATTTTTAAAATGCTAATATTCACTCATTTATCAAATATTTACTGAATGCTAGTTATTTTGCAAAGAGCTTAGAGTCTTTTGGGGAATAGACAAATTCAGAGTGCTTTTCAAGAGACGTAGAAAGTTGTAGGAGCACAGGATATTTTTTAAGGCAAAATATCAAGTATACAATTCCGTTATCAGGGATTGGCATGAAATCTCTCCATAAATTTGTATTGCCATCTGTTCTTTGTATTTGATGTAGATACTTTTCCTAATTTATAGATCAGGAAACACATTTAAGGGAGTTAAAACTTGCCTAGGAGCTTGCAACTCAAGGGCTGTGAAACTCCTTTATATCTTCTGGAAAAACTTAAAGAGCATATCTTCAAAGCTAAATAGTAAAATGGAAATTTTTAATGTCATGACCAGGGTTTAAGTCATATTAGATGAATCATACTGAACAGAGATATGAACTATATTTTTTGACAAAAGTGCAGAGTACTCAATGTTTTAATAGAGGACTTATATCGGAGGTGTGAATACAGAGCTAATTGTTAATTCATTTAATCTCCATATATTTAATGAGTGCTTGAGTAGCAGGTACATTTCTAGGTTCTGGGGATAGAGCAGTGAATCAAATAAACAAAAATATCTGTCCAAGTAGAGCTTTTATTTTAATGGGAGATATAGCAAAGAAAAAAAGAGATATAAGTAAAATGTATGAGTGTTAGTAATAAGTGCTATATAGGAAAAGAAAGAGAAGGGATATAGGAAATATGAGTCAGGATGGAGAATTGCAGTTTTAATTAGGGTGACGTATTGATCAGTATTTGCTGCATACCAAATCACCTCAAAACGCAGTGTTTGAAACCATGAAAATTTCTTTCTTGGTCTGTGGGTTGACTGCTGTTAGCCTGATCAAGGCCTGACTTGGCTGAGTGGGTCCTTCAGCTATTTTCTGGGGTAGGGGAGATACCCAGAACTCAGGCTGAGTTATGTGGGGTATCTACTAGACGCCTGGAGGCTGCTGCGTGGGTTGTTCAGTATGGCGTCTGTGG